ACCTCCTCGAGGGTCTCACCCCTGCCTTCGATGCCCACAAGCTAGCATACATGCAGCTCCTCTCCAAGCATGATACTCCCGCTCAGGTTGCCCAGTGGATTATCACCACTGAGGTTGAAATCCTTCGCCACTCCTCCTCCACCGCCGCAGCAGCACAGCAGCGCAGCAGCAAAGGCGGGCGTGGGGGGGGCGTGGAGGTGGGCGTGGTGGTGGTCGAGGCGGCTCCGGCGGTCGTGGTGGCGTGGGTCGTGGTGCAGCAGCGGCCTTCCCACCCTGTCAGTATCTTCCCCTCTATGGCCCCACCCGAGGTCAACGCTGCAACCAAACCACTCATGCGACTGAGACGTGCTTCAAGGCACTCAGCGATGAGTGGTTCGCTCGTGGGAACTCTGGCACCCCTCCTCGCTGGTCCGCCCTCAACCCCCGCCCCACTCCCCTGGATGTCAGCACCTCTCCCCTTTACGCCCCTTCCTCCTCCTCCCAGGCCCACCAGGCCTTTGCTCTCCCCTCTCACCAGCAGCAGCAGCAGCAGCACCAGAGTGTCCAGCAGCAGGGGCCGCAGCAGTACGGGCAGCAGCTTCATCAGCTCCAGCAGCAGCTTCAGCAGCTCCAGCAGCAGCTCGACCTCCAGCCCCAGCTTCCTCTCCTCCCTCCTCCTCCTGTCCCCCAGCAGCAGCCGTTTCCCAGCTGGACCGCCGGGAATGCGGCCTCCGCGGCCCACCTCTCCGGTCCTTCCCCTTCGCCGTCCACAGGTGGCAGTGTGACTCCCTTTCCCTCCTCTGGCTTTGTTGGTCTGCTTAGTCAGCCTCCTTCTGTTGCATCCCTTATGTATGCCCCTGCTATTAATGAAACTTCAATTCAGTACTCCGCCTCACCCTCCTCCACCCTTGAGTTCGTCTTGGACAGTGGAGCCACTGACAATGTCTTTCGCGATGCCGGCAAACTCCATCCTCTCCCCACACCCACGTCCCTCCTCGGCGCTGATAGCAGCTTTTCCATCCCATGTCACAACACATCTACCCTTCCCTGTCCTCTCTTTCCCTCAGGTACCGTCCCAGGTCTTCACATTCCCTCCCTTCGCACTAACCTCCTCTCCCAAAGGTCCCTCCAACAATCCATGATCACCACTCTCACCCCAGGTGGTGCTAACCATTGTGATCTTTACCAAACCTCCACAGGTCGCTTCCTCGCTCGCATTCCCTACTGTCCCCGCTCCCGTCTGTACACCCTTCGGGTTCCTCGCCCCCTCACCTTCCAAGTCGCCTCCCCCCCCCTCCTCCCCCCCCCCCCCCTCCCCTCCCTCCCACTAACCCACCCGTCCCCCCCCGCCCCCCTGACTCTGACTGCTCATGTCGCTCCCTCTCCCACCCTGCCATCCTCCTCCATCACAGGCTAGGTCACCCCAACTTCGCCACTCTGCGCTCCTCTGTATCCTCCGGTCTCATCCACGGTCTCCCCTCCTCCCTCCCTCCCCTCCCAAAGTCCCCTGCCCCCCCTTGCGTCATCTGTGTTCAGAGCAAGCTCAAGCAGCAGCCGCACCGGAGCTTCCCCTCCGCTGCAGCCCAGCCACTTGATCTTGTTCACATGGACCTCTGGGGCCCTAACCCCTCCCCCACTCGCCAAGGCCATCCTTGTGCTCGTCGATGATCACAGTCGGTACTCGTCCGTCTCTCTCCTTCGGACGAAGGCGGACGCCCCGACTGCGATCATTGCCTGGCTCGAGCAGGCAAACACCCACTTTGGGCTCCCTGTTCGCCGCCTTCACTCTGATGGTGGTGGTGAGTTCCTTAATAACCAGATCTCCTCCTATTGCCAGTCCCGCGGCATTCTTCAGACTTACACCCTCCCTCACTCCCCACAGCAGAACGGTGTCGCTGAGAGCCGTGTTCGGGAGATCACCAAAACGGCTCGGTGTCTTCTTGTCCACGCCTCCTGCCCCCCTTCTCTGTGGGGCTACGCCCTCCTTCATGCCGCCCTCCTTACTAACCTTTACCCTCACCCCCTCCTCCCCTCCACCACCCCCACTGAGCTATGGACAAAGGACAAACCCGATGTCTCCCCTCTTCGAGTCTGGGGCTCAAAGGCCTATGTCCTCATTCACCCGTCTGACCGATCCCGTTCCCTTGGAAAACTTGCCCCTCGTACCCTTCCCTGCATCTTCCTTGGTCATAACCCCTCTTCCCCTGACTATCTTTTCCTCCACCCCCCTTCCGGTCAACTAATTCGCAGCAGAGATGTCGTCTTTGACGAATCCACTCCGTACTATTCCTCTCCTCCGTCCACTGACCCACTCCCACCTCTGACTCGTCCCCTTGTCTGGTCTGACACCACCCCTCCCCCTCTCCTCCCTCCTCCCCCCATCCTCCCATCCCCTCCCCCTCCCCCTCCGCCCTCCCAGTCCCATGGTGCCCCCCCCTCGTCTGGTGACATCTTTGACCCGGACCCCCTGTCTTCCCCTGTCTCCCCCGCTCACTCCTCCCCTGGTGCCCCTCCTCCCCCTCCCTCCCAACCCTCACCTCCCTCCCCCACTCCCCGCACCATACTCACCCGGTATCCTCACACCAGGTCACGTGACAGTATCCTTGGTGCACCGCCCCCTGTTACCCTCTCTACCTCTACCCTCTCCCTCTTTCTCCCCTCCTTCACCACTTCTTCCAGGCTGTCTTGCATCAAGCCCCTCATGCACCAGCCCCCTCAACCCACCTCTCCAACAGCAGCAGCAACAGCTCCAGCAGCAGCCACCGCAGCGGCACCAGCAGCGGCAAGTGCAACACCAGCACCGGCATCTGCTCCGGCACCGGCACCAGCAGCGGCGAGTGCAGCGGCAGCAGCGGCATCCGCACCAGCACCAGCAGCGGCATCCGCACCAGCACCAGCAGCGGCACCAGCAGCGGCACCAGCAGCCGCACCAGCAGCAGCGCGTGCAGCGGCACCTGCGGTCATCCGCGCCTTTCATACCTCCCTCTCTGAGGACTCCCATGAGGAGTTCCTTGACCTCCACCTCTCTGACCCCTCCCTCCTCCCCATCACCTTTGACCTCTCTGGAACACCAGTTTTCGCCTTTTCCTCTGCTCCCTCCATCTTCATCCCAACCACATATGAGGAAGCCATGGCTTGCCCCGACGCCCCGCTCTGGCTTGCCGCCATCATCAAGGAGCTGGAGGCATTTGTCGCCAACTCCTGCTTCGTTGATGTGCCTCGCCCTCCCCCCTCTACGAACGTAGTGAAGGGGAAGTGGGTGTTTCGCGTCAAACAGCTACCTGGAGAGCCACCCGTCTACAAGGCCCGGTATTGTGCCAAGGGTTTTACGCAGCGGTATGGTTTTGACTTCTTCGACACCTTCTCCCCCACCGCCAAGCCTGCTACCGTTCGCGCCGTACTCGACCTCGCCGCTCGCCTCAACATGGAGATCCACTCGATGGATGTCTCCAACGCCTTCCTGCAAGGCGTGCTACGTGAGCTGATCTACATGGAGCGCCCAGCGGGTTTCCACCTCCCCTTCCCCGCCGACTCCGTCTGGCAGCTGCGCCCGGCCCGTGTACGGGCTCCGCCAGGCACTCAGGGAGTGGCATGCCAAGCTTGCAGCCACCCTTCGCCGAGCTTGGGTTTCGCACCTCCCGCTCTGACGCCAGTCTTTTCCTCCGCACCTCCCCCTCCCCCTTCTACATCCTCGTCTATGTTGACGATATGATCCTCCTCACTGCCGACCTTGCGAACTCGAGAATGTCAAGACGGAGCTGGGCAGCCGTCTCAAGTGCAAAGACCTGGGCGAGCTGCAGCACTACCTCGGCATGACCATCACTCGCGACCGCTCTGCCCGCACCATCTCTCTTTCTCAGGGTCACTACCTCCAGCAGGTTTTGGACCGGTTTGAAATGGCGCGCGGCAGCCCGCAGCCCACTCCCCTCTCGGTTGGGCACCACCTCTCCCCACCCTCCTCTCCCTCTCCCTCCTCCCATCCTTATCCTGAACTCATCGGCTCTCTCATGTACGCCATGGTTTCTACTCGCCCTGACCTTGCCTACCCCATCAGCGTCCTCGCTCGCTTCGTTTGCGCTGGCAAGCATACGGAAGAGCACTGGCAGGCCGCCAAGCGCGTCCTTCGCTACATTCGTGGCACCAAGGACTATGTCCTTACCCTTGGCGGCCCTTCCCCTCCCCTCCTCAACGGCTACAGCGACTCTTCCTAGGCTGACTCTCGACCGGATCGGCGGTCCTCTCAGGGTTATGGTTTCTCTCTTGGCAGCGGTCTCATCAGCTGGCGGTCCACACGCTCCTCTGCCGTCGCCCTCTCCTCCTGCGAAGCAGAGCTCTACGCTGCAACCATGGCCGCGCAAGAGGCGCGCTGGCTCACTTTCCTCCTTGATGAGCTTGGAGCCCCCCAACGCTGTCCCACCATCTGGTGTGACAACGCCAGCACCATCCACCTCACCAAGGATGCTGTGTATCATGGGCGCTCCAAACACATTGAGCTTCGCTTCTTCTTCATTCGTGATCTCGTTGAGGCCGGCCACCTTCGCCTTGGCAAAATCGACTCGGCGGCCAGCCTTGCTGACATCTTCACCAAAGCCCTTCCCCAGGCATCCCACTCCTTCCTTCTGCCCCTCCTTGGCCTCACCCCTCCTCCGGTTTTGGCGGCCTCCTGATTACATCTTCTAGCCTTATGCATGTTGGGGGGTTGTGTTGTAAATGTACATTATATACAACATCCATAGGCTAGAATAGGTGTAGTCCCTTATGTTCTTGGGGGGTTGAGTGTACACTCCAACCACACTTTGTGGTTGGTCAAGATTGGATTTGGTCTTGGTCCTTGGTTGGCACTTGCCAACTTTTGGTCCTAACACCAACCAATCGCTACCTAGCTACAATGTGGGGTTTCCTCCTCCACAAGGCATCACTCCCATTGGCCAACTTAGTGGCCAATAGGGTTAGCTCCTCCTCCACTCTTTTCTTCCTTGCATGCTTGTATTATAGAGACTCCTTGGCTCATTACTCAATCATTATTGAATCCTATCACACTCGTAGTACACCAGCTCACTGCCACACAGGGGCTGCCAGGGGGGCGGGGGAGAGGGGGGAGGGGAGGGGCGGGGGGGAAGGAGGGGGTTCGAGTGTGTGGAGATGAAGGCATGCGCGCCCGCGGGCACTTGTGGAACACGGGCTCACTGCAGCGCAGGGGATGGGCCGCAAGAGGAGAATGTTGGGGAGGGGGGTAAGGGGAAGGGGGGGAGTGAGGGAAAGTGTACGTCGACTGAAACGGGGGGTTTGGGTGAGGGTGACGCATGGTTTCTGGCCCAGAAGAGCATGGCGCAGGCAAGGCGTATGACTTAGAATGGCATTGGTACCGAGCTGCTTGGGTCGATGCATGCATTTGGAAGAACTCGATATTCCATGGTGCAAAATTTCCACACTGGCTCAAACTTCCATGGTGGAAGCCCGAACTCTATTGATCACCATGCCCCACCCCCAATTTCACTGATATCCCTAATCACAACCAAGAAGAGACATGTAACCACTATCCAATACCATTTCAGGACACATGACACCATGTCACAAACAACTGTGCCACCTGCATGACACCTGCGATACATGAGCAGGAGCACAACAGGCCCTGGGGCAGCGCAACACTGGGGCAGAGCAGAGCAGCACTGGGGCAGAGCAGAGCAGCACTGGGGCAGAGCAGAGCAGCACTGGGGCAGAGCAGAGCAGCACTGGGGCAGAGCAGAGCAGCACTGGGGCAGAGCAGAGCAGCACTGGGGCAGAGCAGAGCAGCACTGGGGCAGAGCAGAGCAGCACTGGGGCAGAGGGGGCGGCATGAGAAGTCACGCGCCGCATTGTCAAACGTGTCTCAAAACACAACTGCGGTACCTGCATGACACCTGCATGACACCTGCATGACACCTGCATGACACCTGCCATGACGCCCTGCATGACGCCTGCATGACACCTGGAACACATGAGCAGAGCAGCACAGAGCAGCACAGCACCTGGGGCAGCACAGAGCAGCACAGCACCTGGGGCAGTGGGGAGCCATGGCGAAGTCGCACCGCCGCATGTTCCGCCTCCACGTCCTCCACCCTCACCGGGAACCACCGAGCCCTCCTCCCTCTCCCCCTCACCCCTCACCCCCTCCCCCTCAGCCCTCTCTCCCTTCATTCGCTTCCGTTTCTGCCTTCCCTTCTCCCCTCCCTCCTTCCACACGTCTCCATATCCATCCACTTCTCTCTCTCCCTCCTTCCATTCCCCATCGGCCCTGCGCATGTGCCGTCTCGTCCCTCTCCACATCCACACCGCTCCCATGAGCGTCCCCATGGGCTGCGGGAGGCGAGGGGGCCCGCAGGGGGGAGGGCGGCGTGCGGTGGGCGCGCAGCTCGGCGGTCGAGAGTGGAGGGGTCGGGCCGGCCGCGTGGCGTCGGGGCAAACACGTGGCGCTCGCAGTGCTGCAGGTACTGCCGCAGCTGCAGCGGCGCTGCAGGTGGGAAAGTGGGGAGAGGGGGGGGGGGAAGAGCAGGGGCAAGTATCAGGGAAGAGGAGGAGAGGGGGCGAGAGAGTAGAGGTGAGGAGGGGAAGGAGTTGTGACAAGGGGGCAATAATGGCTGAGCAGTTTAGCACCAGACATGCAGCGGAAGAAAGGGGATCGGGGAGTGGGTGTTGGATGCAAGGCAGAAGAGGATGGATGGAGAGTGAGCGAGTGCAGTGGGCAGGTGTTGCCTTCCTCACTTCACGGCCTTTCAAAGGCCTCTCATTCCCCGCAACAGCCCATGCCTCACGACCCCTCCACACACCCCACCCCCTCACACTAGAGTTGAGCAGGTGCCCCGCTCGGGTCGGGCCGACCCGACCCGACCCGTGGTTTTGCCCGGGTCGGGTCAGGGTTTCTGAATCTCTGCCCCGTATGGGCCGACCCGACCCGACCCGGGGTAAGACCCGACCCGAGGGCCCATTTCGGGCCGGGCCGAGTCGGGTTTCGGGTCGGGCCTGCCCCGACCCGATTTCGGGTCTAAAATGTCGAAATCGGTCGGACCAGGTGCGCGACCCGATTTCGACAGGGCTAGGGCTGAAACCCTAGCCCAAATGTAAATCAATCGAGGGGATTTTTTCCCCGTCGATTTACATTCGCCACCCCAGCAACTAGTGGCCTTAAAGTATTAAGTACCTTCCTTTAAACTACCTCCTATCTTAGGCTTTCCCCCCACGAATGCACATACTTTCAGTTATATTCGTAGATATAAGATTCTGGCTGCACTAGTAGTGCATTTCGCGCAGGTCAATTTCGTAGTTTTTAGGGTACTTAAATTCAAGCGCAACCTCTACTTTCCTTTGACCCCACGACATCCGTGGCGTTTCCGCTGTAGTGGACGCATTTACCGGCAACCGCTGCACGATTTCACATAGGTTTGCGTCGGCTGCTTGCACGGTGACGGGGAATCCGCGAGCACACGTTTCGTTGCACATTGTGATGAATACCCCCAGCCTCCCCTAAGGGGGCGGGTCTGCCTGGACCGACCCGCCCCGACCCGACCCCGGGTCCTCTTTGACCCGAGTCAGTAGGCCCGAGGTCGGCCCGACCCGACCCGAGGGCCCGTGTGGCCCGGCCAAATCGGGTCGGGTCGGGCCGGGTCGGGCCACATGCTCAACTCCACACCCACACCACACCCCCTCACACCCCACCCTCACGCCCCACCCCTCACACCCCACCCCTCACACCCCACCCCTCACACACCCCACCCCTCACACCCCACCCCTTACACCCCACCCCTCACACCTCACGCCCCTGCAACAGGGGTTCACCTCTTCCCTCTGATCCATCCTCCCCCTCTCCCTGCATGCGTCCCCCGCCAGCCCCAGCACGGGTCTGCATGGGCATCTGCAGCAGCTGCTGCCGGATGCCCTCCACTGCTTGCACCACCCGCCGCACATCCCACTCCCCTTCCTCCCCTTCCTCCCCTTCCTCCTTCCCTTCCTCCTCCCCTACCCCCTCCTCCTCCCCCTCCTCCTCCCCTCCTCCTCCCCCTCCTCCTGCCCCTCCACCCCATCCTCCCCTCGCCCCTCGTCTACCTTCCCTGCCAGCGACCCGCCTTGCCTTGCATCGCCTTGCTTGCGCTGCTGCAGCATGTGCTGCCACCCCGACACCGCGCCCCGAGCCAGAGCCAGCGACACCGTGGCGCGCGGGGCAGCCACAGCAGCCTTGCACACCGCCGCTCCACCCCCTGCTGCTCCTGCTGATGCTGCTGCTGCCACTGCTGCTGATGCTCTTGCTGCTGGTGTTGGCGATGCCCTTGCGCGTGTGCATGATGAAGGGTTGAGGCAGGGCCAGGAGCCGAGGGCGAGGGCGAGCTTGAGGGAGACAACGACCGCTGCCATGACGTAGAGGCGCGTGGGCCACCCAGAGGGGTGGGGCGAGAGGTGGAAGCGGGGGAGGAGGGATGGGAGGGAAGGGGCAAGGGAGGCGGAGGGGCAAAGGAGGTCAAAGAGGCGGTGCAGGAAAGGGGCGAAGAGCGGTACGGGTAGGTGCAGCTCCTGGTGGGCAGGAGGAACAGAGGGGAGGAGGGATGGGACGGAGGGGTACGGAGGGGTGGAACGGGACAGGGAGAGAGGGAAGGAAGGGGAGAGGGACGGAGGGGGCAATGCAGAGGCGGTGAGGGGGGGGTTTGGGAGAAAGCGGAAGGGACGGGGTTTGGGGAGAAGCGGAAGGGACGGGGTTTGCGGAGAAAGCGGAAGGGACGGGGTTTGGGGAGAAAGCGGAAGGGACGGGGTTTGGGGAGAAAGCGGAAGGGACGGGATTTGGGGAGAAAGCGGAAGGGACGGGGTTTGGGGAGAAAGCGGATGGGACGGGGTTTGGGGAGAAAGCGGAAGGGACAGGGCTTGGGGAGAAAGCGGTAGGGAGAGGAATTTGGGAGAAAGTGGAAGGACGGGGTTGGGGAGAAAGCGGAAGGGATGGGGTTTGGGGAGAAGCGGAAGGGACGGGATTTGGGAGAAAGCGGAAGGGACGGGGTTTGGGGAGAAAGCGGATGGGACGGGGTTTGGGGAGAAAGCGGAAGGGACAGGGCTTGGGGAGAAAGCGGTAGGGACAGGAATTTGGGAGAAAGTGGAAGGGACGGGAGTTGGGGAGAAAGCGGAAGGGACGGGTTTGGGAGAAAGCGGATGGACGGGGTTTGGGAAAAGCGGAAGGGACGGTTTGGGGAGAAAGCGGAAGGGACGGGTTTGGGGAGAAAGCGGATGGGACGGGGTTGGGGAGAAAGCGGAAGGGACGGGGTTTGGGAGAAAGCGGTAGGACAGGCGGAGAAAGTGGAAGGGACGGGTTTGGGGAGAAAGCGGAAGGGACGGGTTCGGGGAGAAGCAAAGACGGGGTTTGGGGAGAAAGCGGAAGGGACGGGGTTGGGGAGAAAGCGGAAGGGACGGGAGTTGGGGAGAAAGCGGAAGGGACGGGGTTTGGGGAGAAAGTGGAAGGGTTGGGGAGAAAGCGGAGGGATGGGGTTCGGGGAGAAAGCAGAAGGGACGGGGTTTGGGGAGAAAGCGGAAGGGACGGGGTTTTGGGGAGAAGGCGGAAGACGGGAGTTGGAGAAAGCGGAAGGGACGGGGAGGAAAAAGCGGAAGGGACGGGGTTTGGGGAAGAAAGGGAAGGGACGGGGTTTTGGGAGAAAGCGGAAGGGACGGGTTTTGGGAGAAAGGGGACGGGAGTTAGGGAGAAAGCGGAGGGGACGGGAATTTGGGGAGAAAGCAGAAGGGACGGGGTTTGGGAGAAAGCGGAAGGGACGGGGTTTGGGGAGAAAGCAGAAGGGACGGGGTTTGGGGAGAAAGCGGAAGGGACGGGATTGGGGAGAAAGCGGAAGGGACGGGGTTTGGGGAGAAAGCGGAAGGGACGGGATTTGGGGAGAAAGCGGAAGGGACGGGGGAGAAAGCGGACGGGACGGGTTTGGGAGAAAGGGAAGGACGGGAGTTGGGGAAAAGCGGAAGGGACGGGGTTTGGGGGAGAAGGGTTGGGAGAAAGCGGAAGGGATGGGGTTCGGGAGAAAGCGGAAGGGACGGGGTTTGGGGGAAAGCGGAAGGGACGGGTTTGGGAGAAAGCGGAAGGGACGGGGTTTGGGGAGAAAGCGGAAGGGATGGGGTTGGGGAGAAAGCGGAAGGGACGGGGTTTGGGAGAAGCGGAAGGACGGGAGTTGGGGAGAAAGCGGAAGGGACGGGGTTTGGGGAGAAAGTGGAAGGGTTGGGGAGAAAGCGGAAGGGATGGGGTTCGGGGAGAAAGCAGAAGGGACGGGGTTTGGGGAGAAAGCGGAAGGGACGGGGTTTGGGGAGAAGGCGGAAGGGACGGGAGTTGGGAGAAAGCGGAAGGGACGGGGTTTAGGGAGAAAGCGGACGGGACGGGTTTGGGAGAAAGCGGAAGGGACGGGGTTTGGGGAGAAAGCGGAAGGGACGGGGTTTTGGGAGAAAGCAGAAGGGACGGGAGTTAGGGAAAAGCGGAAGGGACGGGATTTGGGGAGAAAGCAGAAGGGACGGGGTTTGGGGAGAAAGCGGAAGGGACGGGGTTTGGGGAGAAAGCAGAAGGGACGGGGTTTGGGGAGAAAGCGGAAGGGACGGGATTGGGGAGAAAGCGGAAGGGACGGGGTTTGGGGAGAAAGCGGAAGGGACGGGATTTGGGGAGAAAGCGGAAGGGACGGGGTTTGGGGAGAAAGCGGAAGGGACGGGGTTTGGGGAGAAAGCGGAAGGGACGGGGTTTGGGGAGAAAGCGGAAGGGACGGGAGTTGGGAGAAAGCGGAAGGGACGGGGTTTGGGGAAAAAGGGGAAGGGACGGGGTTTGGGGAGAAAGTGGAAGGGTTGGGGAGAAAGCGGAAGGGATGGGGTTCGGGGAGAAAGCAGAAGGGACGGGGTTTGGGGAGAAAGCGGAAGGGACGGGGTTTGGGGAGAAGGCGGAAGGGACGGGAGTTGGGAGAAAGCGGAAGGGACGGGGTTTAGGGAGAAAGCGGACGGGACGGGGTTTGGGGAGAAAGCGGAAGGGACGGGGTTTGGGGAGAAAGCGGAAGGGACGGGGTTTTGGGAGAAAGCAGAAGGGACGGGAGTTAGGGAGAAAGCGGAAGGGACGGGATTTGGGGAGAAAGCGGTAGGGACAGGAATTTGGGAGAAAGTGGAAGGGACGGGGTTTGGGGAGAAAGCGGAAGGGACGGGGTTTGGGGAGAAAGCGGAAGGGACGGGATTGGGGAGAAAGCGGAAGGGACGGGGTTTGGGGAGAAAGCGGAAGGGACGGGAGTTGGGGAGAATGCGGAAGGGACGGGGTTTGGGGAGAAAGCGGAAGGGACGGGATATGGGGAGAAAGCGGAAGGGACGGGAATTGGGGAGAAAGCGGGAGGGACGGGGTTTGGGGAGAAAGCGGAAGGGACGGGAGTTGGGGAGAAAGCGGAAGGGACGGGTTTTGGGAGAAAGGGGAAGGGACGGGGTTTGGGGAGAAAGCGGAAGGGACGGGGTTTGGGGAGAAAGCGGAAGGGACGGGGTTTGGGGAGAAAGCGGAAGGGACGGGGTTTGGGAGAAAGCGGAAGGGACGGGAGTTGGGGAGAAAGCGGAAGGGACGGGGTTTGGGGAAAAAGCGGAAGGGACGGGGTTTGGGGAGAAAATTGGAAGGGTTGGGGAGAAAGCGGAAGGGATGGGGTTCGGGGAGAAAGCGGAAGGGACGGGGTTTGGGGAGAAAGCGGAAGGGACGGGGTTTGGGGAGAAGGCGGAAGGGACGGGAGTTGGGAGAAAGCGGAAGGGACGGGTTTAGGGAGAAAGCGGACGGGACGGGGTTTGGGGAGAAAGCGGAAGGGACGGGGTTTGGGGAGAAAGCGGAAGGGACGGGGTTTTGGGAGAAAGCAGAAGGGACGGGAGTTAGGGAGAAAGCGGAAGGGACGGGATTTGGGGAGAAAGCAGAAGGGACGGGGTTTGGGGAGAAAGCGGAAGGGACGGGGTTGGGGAGAAAGCAGAAGGGACGGGGTTTGGGGAGAAAGCGGAAGGGACGGGAATGGGGAGAAAGCGGAAGGGACGGGGTTTGGGAGAAAGCGGAAGGGACGGGAGTTGGGGAGAATGCGGAAGGGACGGGGTTTGGGGAGAAAGCGGAAGGGACGGGATATGGGGAGAAAGCGGAAGGGACGGGAATTGGGAAAAAGCGGGAGGGACGGGGTTTGGGGAGAAAGCGGAAGGGACGGGAGTTGGGGAGAAAGCGGAAGGGACGGGGTTTTGGGAGAAAGGGGAAGGGACGGGGTTTGGGGAGAAGCGGAAGGGACGGGATTTGGGGAGAGCGGAAGGGACGGGGTTTGGGGAGAAAGCGGAAGGGACGGGTTTGGGGAGAAAGCAGAAGGGACGGGAGTTGGGGAGAAAGCGGAAGGGACGGGATTTGGGGAGAAAGCAGAAGGGACGGGGTTTGGGGAGAAAGCGGAAGGGACGGGGTTTGGGGAGAAAGCGGAAGGGACGAGATTTGGGGAGAAAGCGGAAGGGACGGGGTTTGGGGAAAAAGCGGAAGGGACGGGGTTTGGAGAGAAAGCGGAAGGGACGGGGTTTGGGGAGAAAGCGGAAGGGACAGGGTTTGGGGAGAAAGCGGAAGGGACGGGAATTTGGGAGAAAGCGGAAGGGACGGGGTTTGGGGAGAAAGTGGAAGGGACGGGGTTTGGGGAGAAAGCGGAAGGGACGGGGTTTGGGGAGAAAGCGGAAGGGACGGGGTTTGGGGAGAAAGCGGAAGGGACGGGGTTTGGGGAGAAAGCGGAAGGGACGGGAGTTGGGGAGAAAGCGGAAGGGACGGGGTTTGGGGAAAAAGCGGAAGGGACGGGGTTTGGGGAGAAAGCGGAAGGGACGGGAATTTGGGAGAAAGCGGAAAGGACGGGCTTCGTTAGAACGCTAAAGGGACGGGGGTTGGGGAGAGGGGAAAACAGTGGGAGAAAGATGATCGGGGGCAGAAGAGGTGACTTTATACGGGGGACACACGACTTGACACAGGACTTGACTTTTTTGCAACGAGAGCCCAATTCGAATGGATTGTGATCACCGCTGCTCGCTCAACCTGACAGGCGTAACAGAGTGAGAGGGCGCATCTAGCATGTACCTGAAGAAACCGCTCCCCAATTAGGCGGAAGTTGAGGGGGGGCAGGCGCAGGGCGATGGATGCGGCAGCAGAGGCAGCGAGCAGCTCGAGCAGGCGAGCAGAGCAGAGGGCGAGCGGACGGAAGAGCGTGGCGGGTGGGACGCTGGCGGGGTAGCCCTCGAAGGGCGACAGCTGGCGCCACGCGGACAGGTAGGGCAGCGAACCGGAGAGCGCCAGGTGGCAGATGTCGGTGGGGAGCAGCGGCAGGCGGAGGTAGTGAGAGGCGAGGTAGAGGGAAGCGAGTGAGGCGTGCAGTGGTAGGTGGCTGGGGGGGGGGGGAACGGGGTGAAAGAGGGAACAGGTGGAGGTGAGAAGCAAGGCAGTGAGGGTGAGGGGGCATGCAAGGCGAGGAAGAAGACTGAGGTGAGCGAGAAGATGGGTTGGGGGATTTGGGTTGTGGGAGATGAGATGAGAAGCAGGAGTGCAGTCAGGGGACATGCAAGGTGAGGCGAGGGGAGCGAACATGAGGCGAGGGGAGCGAACATGAGGCGAGGGGAGCGAACATGAGGCGAGGGGAGCGAACATGAGGCGAGGGGAGCGAACATGAGGCGAGGGGAGCGAACATGAGGCGAGGGGGGCGAACATGAGGCGAGGGGAGCGAACATGAGGCGAGGGGGGCGAACATGAGGCGAGGGGAGCGAACATGAGGCGAGGGGAGCGAACATGAGGCGAGGGGAGCGAACATGAGGCGAGGGGAGCGAACATGAGGCGGGAAGGGAAACGGGAAGTGGAGTGAAGTGGAGGTAGCCATGCAAGTGGAGTGGAGTGGTGTTGCCGTGCCTTGCCAGTGACGGTATGGTGCTCACAGCAGCAACAATAAGCGCGCCACCAACCACTCAAGGGCCTCACTCACTCACACGTGCAGCTTGCAGGTGACGGCAAAGAAAGGGCTTGTCTGAAGCCTCTCCGCCAGAGCAAACCACGTCTCCCTCATCGACGCCTCTCTCACTCCCCCCCTTCCCTCCTTCCTCCTCCTCTCCCTCCCCTTCCACTCCCATCCATCCCCCCCCATCCCCTCACTTCCTTCGCGTCTCTCAGCAGCCTCGTCCTCCCGAATGGCCGCCAGCTCCGCTTCAAACTGCCCCCACTTCTTCCTCCGCGCCCGCCTCGCCCGCTTCCTCACCTCCTCCCTCTCTTGCCGCCTGCTCCGCCTCGCGCCCGCCAGAATCGCCCGCAGCTCCCGCGCCCACTCATCCTCCTCCTCGTGCTGCCCCGTGCCACCCACTGCGCCGTTCCCCTCTTTGTCTCTCCCTTCTTCGCCTGCCCCCTGCGCTGCCGCGCACCCCATTCCCCCAAAGCCCCCGCTCCCGCCCTCCATGCCCCACCCTGCCATCTCCCGTTGCAGTGCCTCCCCCCCTTCCCCTCCCATCTCACCTCCACCTCGTCTCTCTTCCACCAGACTTCGCCTCCCCTCCCCATCCCTCCTCCCCATTTCCCCCTCCCCCAACCCCTCCCGCACCCCTTTCCCCTTCCTCCCAAGCGTGCCCCCCTCCCCATGTGCCCTCACCCACGCGCCACAGCAGCCAGCAGCGCTCGGCATACCCTTGGCGGAGCACACCCAGAGTGCAGCACGAGGCGCAGCAGGATCTGCCGCGCCACGCTGCTCAGCGCTGCTGCATTGGCAGCCGAGGCAGCCGCAGCAGCAGCAGTGTCCTGCTCCTTGCGCTCCCCGCCCTCCCCCATGGGCCCCTGGGGCGGAGCAGGTGTGGGCGGGGCGAGCAGGGCGGAGAGCGCGTGGCACTGGCGGGCCAGCATGGCGTGAAGCCCCGCGCAGTAGTGCTCCGCCAGGGCGTGCGCCTGGAGGGGGAGGGGGGGGAGGAGGGGGGAGGGAGGGGGGGGAGAGGGGAGGTGAGATGAGAGAGCGCTCTGCCAGCATGGCGTGCAGCCCCGCGCAGTAGTGCTCCGCTAGGCCGTGCGCCTGGGGAAGGGGGGGGAGTGGAAGGGGGTGGGTGGAAGGGGGGAAAGGTGGGGGAGGGGGCAGCAGTAATGGAAGGCATGGCGTGGCACTGGCGGGCCAGCATGGCGTGAAGCCCCGTGCTATAGTGCTCCGCCAGGGCGTGCGCCTGGGGGAGGGAGCGCGGGGTGGGCGGGAAGAAGAAGGGGAGGAAGGGGGGGGAAGGGGGGGTGGGGGTGAGGTGGGGGTTTAGGTGGAAGAGGAAGGGGTGAGGTGGGGAGGAAAAAAGGGGATGTGGAGGGGGTGGTTGGCATTGATGGTAGGCAGATGGGAAAAATCTTGCTCTCTTCACAGTTTGCAAGCGTACATGGCGCATGGTCCCCTAACCCCTAAACCCTCGTGAGAGGGAGTGCGGGCAAGGGACAGCGAGCAGGCGCACACGAGGAGGCGAGAACGCATGGGGTCACAATTTCTCGCCCTCACCTTGCGCACCATTGTAAGCCCCCTGCACTTGCCGCCCACTCAACGCCCCACCTGCACTCCACGCCCCATCCCCACCTCCCACCTGCAATCCACACCCCATCCCCACCTCCCACCTGCACTCCACACCCCATCCCCACCTCCCACCTGCACTTGCAGGCTGACGGCGCGAGCAGCCCTGGCGGCGTCCGCCGCAGCGACGTCCTGCCGCTGCTGGTGCAGCGCCACGTTGCTCTCGCGCACCACCGCCTGCGACCCCCCCATCCCCCCCACCCCGTCCCCGCCGCGCCTCCGCCCGCGCCGCCCGCGCCGCCCTCGTTGTCCTCCTCGCGGAACTGCTGCGACACCATGCCGCACTCGCTGCACCGCATGGCGCCCGTGTGGTCGTCCTGATGGGGGGAGGGGGGGGGGGAAGGGGGGAGGGGGGCGGGGGGGGGGGGTGGAGGGGGGGGGAGCAGAGGGAGGGGGGTGGGGGGGGAGTGGGCTTTGGAGGCGCCTCAGAAGGCGTCCTCCCCCGCGGAACTGCTGCGACACCATGCCGCACTCGCTGCACCGCATGGCGCCCGCGTGCCCGTCCTGCCGGGCGCGAGCGGGGGGTGGGGGGTGGGGGGAAGGCAATGGGGTTGCGCCGCTTCTCAGATAGACGGATCGATGCTGCTGCGGGCTGTCTATTTGACATTGTAACGAACCTGCTCCATGCGGATCATGCTGTAACGCACATGCAGTCGTCGCCACGATGCAGTTGAAACTGTACTAACATGAAGTTGAAACTGTACTAACGCACCTTCTCCATGCAGTTGAGACTGTAACGCACCTTCTCCATGCAGTTGAAACTGTGACGCACCTTCTCCATGCAGTTGACGCTGAAGCACACGAGGCACATCTCCTGCTGCTCGCTCCCCGCCATCGCTGCGCCTCTCCTGCTGCGACCCGCGCCTCTACTGCTACGACCCGCGCCTCTACTGCTACGACCCGCGCCTTGCTAACCTTGTCGCGCACTCGTTCGGAGCCCTCCTAAGAAACGGATTCCTGCGCCTTCTTTCAACTGGCGCGTTCGATAGTTGGGCATAGCAGTCAAGAGTGGCTACGGGAGTGGCGACCCCGTAACTACGGAATGTCGCGAGGGTTAGCGAGAAAACCCCCCCCCCCACTTCTAAAAGGGAGAATATACGAATGGTTACGACCATGAGGCTCAATAATGTGTACGATAAACATTAGAGTTTTAATGTGTTTTGTAACTGGTTCATCAGTAGAGAATGATCACGAATGGCATATCTCAGCAGACAACTGACTCCACCCAGCGGAGCTCGCTGCCCACGGGGAGAATATATATATATATAACCCATTCGGGCGGGCATGCATCCGGTCAGGGAGGCATCAACCCTGAACACCTGGAGGCATGCGTTTAGGTTTGATGCCTCCATTGGATAGAATGCCATCCGATCGGGTTTTAGTTTTTTTCTGACCAGGGGCAGCAGTCGTCAGGTCGTCAAAGGGTCAACGGAGCTATCGACCCAATTCCGCTGAGGTATTTCGCGAATATTAAAACCCGCAGTCTGAATGACAGAAGGTGTTTTGAGGTGTTAATACTTTCTCTTCCGAACCAGGGTGGTTACCATGCGTTCATCTGCAAAACGTGATGAAGTCCCATGCATCACGGGGAAGGGTCGCTCGGTTCCTGCGCAACAACTTTGGGCTGTGGTGTGCACACCAAACTGGAGATGTAACTGCTCACGCTCACTCCCTTCCGTCATAGCCAAATGCTTTTCGTGTCGGGAAGTCTAGCAATTGCATTTCACGTCGGGAAGGTTTGCTATTGTTTTGAGCGTCCGAACTACTTGATGCGTTTCGTTTTAGGGACGGCTAAATGCGCTTGCGTCGGGAAGGCCGAATGAGTTTAGTGTCGGAAAAGCTAATTGCGTCTCGTCCGACTCATTTTGTTCATGGGCCATTCTCGTTGTGGGCTTGGTTAATATCTTGGAGGAAGTTGGTGGTACTAGTACAAGTCCTCTAAACAGTCCGTCGAGTAGCCAGAGGTATGTCGAGGTATGTTAGGCTGCTCCCTACCATTCAGTTGGTGTTGTGTACACATTCTTCTCGAGTCGTTTGCTTGGTAGCGGCACCAGGTTGTCGCTACATTGTTTTTGCTAACAAGCATTTTTCGCAATTCATCCGAACCTCAGATTGCTTGACCCCACCCCAACCCAAGCCTTGTGTTGACTGAGTTTTGTAATTTAGGCTATGGGTTAGAAAACCAACCACCCAAAACGATCATGATTTCAAGAGATTTGAGTTTGCAGTTTGTAACGCATGTCTTTTTTGTTTCGATATCCATGTTTGTCAGAAACAAGAAGTCAGGAACAGAAATGAAGAAAGGATGGTTTGCACTAGCAACAGTTGGCATACGTAAATGAAACCCTAATTGGGTTGTACTCGCTATAGAGTACCCCACTTCAGGCTAGACAATAATAACATTCTGACACACCCCCATAGCCAAAGTGGAGTGTAATCAGCACAATGAGCAGGCATAGCAATAGTTTACAATTATAAGCAAAGCTAGAGGCGATCACAGAGGGCAAGTGAGGAGGAGGAATTGTGAGGGGAGAGAAGATGGGAGACGACGGCTGAAGCTGCAGTCACACGGGCAACAGGAGCACGCACACAGTGGCTACCGAGCGCACGAGGGCACCGGACTACAGGAGTAACAGGCTCCGCGGCTACGACGAGCGGCAGGAGCAACAGACCCACGGGCGACAGGCACACACCAGGCTCTCTGGGCTACCGAGAGCACGACGGCTCCTGACTACTGGCGCTGTAAGCGATACGACGGCAGCCTCCACACAACCTCCCCCGACCGTCCCACGCCCCTCTCACACACCCCCTGCAGAAACCCTAACTCCCACTCCCACGTCACCCCCCCGGCTCCACTCCCCTCGGCTCCCACACCTCCACCCCCCTCAGCAGCAGCTGCAGCAGTGGGAGACGAGCAAGGAGGAGGGGAGAGGGAAGGGGAGCATGTCAAACTTATATGCTATAGTCTGTGTAGGCTGTAGTGGGGTAGACAATATGGGGTAAAACACTTTTAGGTTTTCCTACTTGTACCCACCTGTTTCCTAGTGCACACATTCCTCGTTCTTTCACATGGTATAGAGCAGGTTCCCTAGTGGGAACGTTTCCTAGGGCCCACCGAATATCGATTTTTTTTTTCCTGCCCGGAGCGCGCTTTGCCCGTGCCCGAGTCGCCCCTTCGCGGCCCCTTCGCGGCCCCTTCACGGCCCCTTCGCGCCCCTTCACGGCCCCTTCGCGGCACCTTCGTGGCCCCCTCGCGGCCGCTTCGTGGCCCCTTCGCGGCCCCTTCGCGGCCCCTTCGCGGCCCCTTCACGGCCCCTTCGCGGCCCCTTCGCAGCCCCTTCACGGCCCCTTCGCGGCCCACTCGCGGCTCCCTTCGCGGCCCCGCCCCGCTGCCCGTAGCGGCCCCGCCCTGTCGCCAGTCGCGGCCCCGCCCCGTCGCCAGTCGCGGCCCCGCCCCGTCGCCAGTCGCGGCCCCGCCGCGTCGCCCCCCCGCCTCGTCGCGACGCCCCTGCGGGACCCGCGAGGCGCGGCTCTTGCGCGTCGCGAAACCACTGCATAACCCGGCGTCGTCACCCCTGCCCGCGGCGGCGCCCTCCCCTAACCCGCGCCCTGGAGCAGCCGCCACTGCAACAGCCGCCTCTGGAGCAGCCGTCACTGCAGCAGCCGCCCCTGGAGCAGCCGCCCCTGCAGCAGCCGCCCCTGGAGCAGCCGCCCTTGAAGTAGCCGCCCCTGGAGCAGCCGCGACTGCAGCAGCCGCCCCTGGAGCAGCCAACCCTGGAGCAGCCGCCACTGCAGCAACCGCCCCTGGAGCAGCCACCCCTGCAGCAACCGCCCCTGGAGCAGCCGCCCCTGCAGCAGCCGCCCCTGGAGCAGTCGCCCTTGAAGCAGCCGCCCCTGGAGTAGCCGCCACTGCAGCAGCCGCCCCTGGAGCAGCCACCCCTGCAGCAGCCGCCCCTAGAGCAGCCGCCCCTGCAGCAGTCGCCCCTGGAGCAGCCGCCACTGCAGCAGCCGCCCCTGGAGCAGCCGCCCCTGGAGTAGCAGCCGCCCCTGCAGCAGCCGCCCCTGGAGCAGCCGCCCCTGCAGCTGCCGCGGAGCCCTCGCCCTACAGTGGTAGCGGCCTCGCCATTGCCGCTGTCGTACGCCTGCCCTTCTCGCCACTGGTGAGCACTGCCCTGCCCGTACTGCTGTTACTACTGCTACTACTCTACTGCTACTATTTCTATTGCTAGTGCTGCTCCTAGCGTCGCCAGATGCAGCTCCAGCGCCGTCCGCGTGAGTCCCGCGCCCCCCAACAGCTTCGTGAGTGGTACGCTAGTTGGGGTTGTAGGGGTGGCCGCGCTGCGACTACTACTGTTGCTACTACTACTGCTGCTACTGCCGGCTACCACTGCTCGTGCTGCTCCTGGCGGTGGCCAGATGCAGCTCCAGCGACGTCCGCGTGAGTCCCTCACCCCCCAGCAGCTTCGTGAGTGGTACGCTACTTGGGGTTGTCGGGGTGGCCGTAGTGGGAGTCGTCCTGGAGTGAGTAGTTTGGCAGCTGCTTGTGGTGGCCAGGTGCAGCTGCAGCGCGTCCGTCCGCGCGGTCCTTTCACCCCAGCAGCTTCGTGAAAGGTACGCTCAGCGTGACGGGTCACGGGGTACTGCGCGCTGTCCGTACGTCATTCGCATTCGCACTGGTGCTCGGACTGGTCAGCCTTGCGAGACGATTGGTCACGCAGAGTCCCGCTACTTCGCCCGTCTGAGCGATGCCTGGCGTACGGATTTTGGCGACGCGGCTGAGCTCCCCGACTGGGTGGAGCTGCTTAGGCTGAGGGTAGATATCTATACTCTTGACTATGATGCTATCCTCACTACCATGTATACATTGCCTACTAGTGATGAGGGTGACTGTTACGTGTGTGTTCCGCCTGACCCGGGCATTGAGACCGCTGCTCTAGGTGCTAGTGAGGCTGCTGCTCTAGGTGCTAGTGCGTCTGCTGCTCCAGGTGCTGGTGAGTCTGCTGCCCCAGGTACTGGTGCGTCTGCTCTCTCAGGTACCACGTCGGCTCAAGCCTTACACACCTTCACCCTTGAGTCGGGTGCTTCGCGCTCCTTCTTTCGAGACCGCACCACGCTTACGCCACTTAGTCGGCCAGTTGCGGTCTCCCTGGCGGACCCCTTCGGGGGTCCTGTCCTTGCCCACTTCTCCACTGTCTTACCGTGTCCGGCGTCCCCCTCTGGCACCCTGGTCTCTACCCCTCGTTCTCTACAAACTTGGTGAGTGGTGCTGATCTACAGGATGGGGGGGTTGACCAATTCACTCCTGCGAGTCAGCGGTGACCCACTGTACGTGTGCTCGGACGGGCCGACACTTGGCCACGTTTACCCGTCAGCCGGGGTCGAGCCTGTACACGCTGACTACTGAGTCTCCTCCAGTTGCTGAGTCTGGTCAGGTAGCTGCGTCGGGTCAGGTGTTTGCTGCAGCGTCCAGGTCTGGTCCTGAGTCTGCTCCCTGCTCGTGTCGTCTCCTTTCCCACCGGACACTCCTCTGGCACCAACGCCTTGGTCACCCCTCCCTGCCTCGTCTCCGAGGCATGGCCTCCCGTTACCTTGTCTCTGGTCTCCCCCCGGTCCCTCCCTCCCCTTCCTCCGGGGCCTGCCCCTACCTGCGTTCCATGCGTTGAGGGGCGGCGGCAGCGCGCAGCCCCTCACTCCTCCGAGTTTCCTCCGATAGAGGCTCCGCTGCAGACTCTTCACATGGACGTGTGGGGCCCCGCCCGCGTCCGTGGCCAGGGTCACGAGCGTTACTTCCTGTTGGTGGTTGACGACTACTCGCGTTACACCTCGGTGTTCCCC